GAGCTAAATACATCTGCAAAGACCTTATTTCCACATAAGGTCACATTCATCGGTGCCGGATGGATGTGAATTCGGGGGCGGGGGGATGCTGTTCATCCCCTCCTCCAGGCCCCTTCCCGAAGCAGATGCACTAGGAAGGTGGCGGCCTGAGTCACTTATCAGAGACTCCTGGCACCTTTTTGAGCTGGAGGAGAACTAGGATCATCAGGCCAGATCATTGAAGTGTGTGGAAGCCCAGATTTCTGTGCTTCAGTGTCCCCGTCTGTTCTGGATATGAAAATGAGCCCTCTGGAACGCAAGGCAGGTGTCCTGTTGCGCTGTGTAAGACCTGACCTGTCCAGGGCGCCGGCCAGGAGGGAACGGGTCAAGGGCTGGCCCCCTTGGCCCACCTCTGTGCACCCGCATGAACCTCCCCGGGGCACCCCCAGACCCCACCGAGGCCCACTTTAGCTCCTCAGTTACCAGCGCTGGGGACAGCTGGGTGCCCCATGGCGAATCCTACAGGGACCTCAGTTAGAGCATGGGGGCCTTCGTTGCGGGAAGACCTGCCCTCAAGAAGTAACAAGGAACAGTTGACTGTGAAGAAAACCACATTCTGAGTTGGGTGGGGAGGGTCTGGCATGGCTGGAGACCCACGAGCTGGGGAGCCCATCCTGGGTCACACGCCCCCACCTTTCTGGGTCTGGGATGGTGCTGGGGGGCAGGATGCCCTCAATCCAGGGTGTAGAGTGGGCCGCTGGCTGGCTGTGCGGTCTGGCTCAGGCGCACAGGGGACAGAAGGTGGGGGCCATCTGCGAAGAAGGGCTGGTTGTAGGACAGCTGCAGGCGGCGGCGGGGGGGTGGGGCAGGGGAGTGGGCCGAGGTCAGGGATTACAGTCTAGGGTCTCCAGCTTTTGGCACAGTGGTTCTCAGAGCAAGGTCCCTGGACCACCAGCAGCATCACCTGGGAGTACTGGGAATGCAGATTTCCGGGGCAGCCAGGACATCCGGTGGTGCCACACCTTGCAGACCCTATTTCCCAAGGTCACAGTCCCGGGTTCTGGGTGGGCAGGGGCGGGAGGGGGACACTGGCCCACTACGGGTGCCAACGGTAGAAGTGGGGGGGGCCAGACAAGGGCAGGTCACCCCACATACTGTCATGGGCCTCTGCCGCCCCTGGGGTGGCGTGCCCGGGTCCTGAGTGGTCTGCATGTGGGAGGGAGCCTGGGGCAGTGGGGGTGGGGAGCGCCGCTTCCTCCCCACCATTCCTCTGCATCCCCATGCTGACTGTGGGGGGCCAGGGGCCCTGGTGCTCACCCGGAGAGCTTGACTGCTGGCCCGGCCCTGAGTCTCATTCAGCGTCAGCCCTCGTGGCGCGCCGGGAGGTTTTCTTCTCTATTAAATGCAATCTTCTTGATTCAATTTTATTTTAGGGTTGGCACAGCACATTCTCTTTCTCTATGTGTGAACGTATGTATGTAAATACACGTACGATGTTGGTGAATTAACGTGTGTGCTATTTTTACTAAGCGAAGATGTGGAAACCAAACAGCAGCCCCTCCAGGGGGGGGCACGCCCTGCTCTCCAGGAGTGTGTCCACCGCGGGAGGGTCCCGTGTGGGGCGGGGGGAGGGCACACGCTGCCATGCGGCCCGGAGGACAGCCGCAGAGTCTGCAGGCTTGAGGCCGGGCACCCGTGGGGAGTGTGAAGGTAGTGACCAGGCTCTCGCCGTCCATCGGGGCCCAGGCCACACCAGTGAGGTGCAGATGTTGCCAGAGATGCCGTGTCCCGTGGACCCTCCCTGGCAGCAGCTGTCTCCCCTGGAGAAGGTGGGGGTGGGGAAGGGGTTTGGGACCCTGGTGAGTTTGTTTACAGGGATTTGGGACAGAAACAGATGGGGACCTTTTAGGGAGGTTCCCCCGTGGGAGAGGTTGTCATGGTCAAGCCACGTGTCTGGTGGGGACAAAGGAAGGCGTGGCACCGTGTTGACATGCATGCCATCGGCGCACATGTGTGCAGAAATGCTTCCACACGATGCCCACTAGCCCGACACGGGAGGATTTAAGCAGAGGCCTGCGAGGTGGGCTCTTGTATGACAAACTCGCACCCACGTTGCTCCCCTGAATGAGGAAACCTCAAAGTCACTGCCTTAACCAACACAGAATGTTCCTCATCTCTTCCTGCAACTTCATCCTGCGAGCAGCCTCGTCCAATCCGGTCCGCTTGGCTGGCTGTTGCTCCACTTTAGCCACTCCTCAACAACCGTCCGTAGCTGCCCGTTACCCGCCGTGGCATTTCCTCTACTGGCCACGCTGTTCTACCCGTCTCTGGGGGGTTGGCCTGTCCCGTCTCTTGGTCCAGAGCTGATGGGGCTCCACGTTCGCCCATATTTACCTGGTCAGCAACATTAACTGTTAGGAATGTTCTTGTGGAGGGGTCTGGGTAGGGGGTGTGTGCCTGCCCTAAGCCATCCAAGTTCAACTTGGAGAAGGAACCACAGCCTAAGAGCAATGGGCCCTGTACCAGACCCTCAATGCTGGTCTTTGGGTCGTTTTCCTTGAACTCACCTTGCACGGCCCCAGCAGCCTGCATCGAGGGTCTTGCCAGGAAGACCGAGACCCCTGTGAGGCTGAGGAGGTTCTTCCAGGTCCAGAGCCTGGCTGTCCTCTCCCGAGCCCCAGGTTTGTGTCTCAAGTGTGTGCTGAACGGCATCCGTGACGTTCCCCTGCTTGGCCTGGTCTCCAGGGAGCTTGAGCCCTCCGGCACACTGTGTGTGAGACGCTCAGCTCAGCTGCTGTCCTTCATCTGGTCTGCTGGTGAATAAGCCCATGGGGCAGCCTCTTACTGGAAGGCACTGGCCAGACAGGCGCGTTTGCCAGCCAAGTACCCTAGGTCCCAGGATGGGGGGGTACCAGTGCTGCAAGCAGCAGCCGCGTGCGGTCGGGCCCATGACCATGGCGGGTGCTTCGTCAGCACCAAATGGTCTCGGAGAAGCCCCCACGCTGGGGCAACGTGGGAGTGGGGAGGGACTGCTCATGGGGACGGGCCTCCTTCGGGGTGACGGAAACGTCCTGGAGCCAGACGGAAATACTGGTAGCCTGGAGAACGTGCTTGGTCAGAGTCGGAGCAGGCCCACTGATGGAGGGGGCCGTGGGGAGGGGTCGGGCACTGGGGGTCACTGGAGATAAAGGGTGTGGGGTCTTGGGGCGCTGAAGGCATTCTAAAAGGAGAGCTGTGCCGGTGCATGCCATTTAGAACCTGAAAACTACTGCAGTGTGGACCTTAAATGGGTGAACTGTATGGCAAGTAAGGTACAACTTGACAAAATGGTCATTAGGGCAAACTGAGCCAACCTACGGAACATTCTGGGGAAATCTGTATCGTTTCCCCAGAGCCACGTTCAGCCGTTGCCCTGGTCCAGGCGCACATCAAGAATGTGCCGTCAGTAAGAGCATCCCTCCTTCCTGGGCTGGGTTGCCCGGCTGGGCATTTGTCCCCCTGTGTTCAGGCCGTGCATCCTAGCTCCGGGGCACCACGGTCCGGTGAAGGCCGTAGACACGGCTGGGGCAGGATGCCATGCAGGGCACTTGGAGCAGAACATCAGGGGCCGGGGCTGCAGCCCAGAGGCTGGGCAGGGTATGGCGGGAGTGGCTCCCCCGGGGCTCCTGGCAGCCCCTGGCACTCGGGGAGGGGTCCCCTGGCAGCAGTGACCATTTGTCAAGTGACGTTTCATTGGTGACAGGCTGCCCCTCTCAGGGACAGGCCACGGCACGTTGGTTTTTCTGGGGCTGGGTGGGATGCGCTGCCCTGGAGCCTGGATGCCAGGTCAGTGAGAGGCATGGATGCCTGGGGCTGTCCTGCCTCGGGCACCCCGTCTAGCCCCGTCACACAGAGAAGGGAGGCTGGCAGCATCCTCACTGGGGTGTGGCATCCTCGGGGCAGGGCTGTCGGCACGTGTGTGTGGAAGAGCCTCCCAGGTCAGGCCTGAGCTTAGGGACTTTAGGCCCCACGCAGGAGGTCACTGCTGCCGGAGTCCGTGGGACCAAGAGGAAAAGCTAAGTCACAGAGAAGCATGTGACCTCCCTGGAAAGGCCGTGCCTGTGCTGCATGTGGCAGACACCCCAGGCTAGGAGCCGCAGGGACCTGGGCTGAGCCCGTGGGACACGGACGTGATTTCTCTCAGCATCTGGAGACCCTGCTTCATGCTGACTTGGGAGAAATCTCTCCAACTCTGTGCTGGTCTCCTCCACACATACAGGGCTAGAGAGAGCAGCTTCCAGAGGGTCCAGGGCATGGCCCAGAGGGTCAGGTGGCCAGGGTCCAGCCCCAGTCCACCAGCCCCCACGCACCCCAGCCTCCTTTCCCGGAGCCCCGAAGGTGCCATGTGAGGGGCAGTGGGGCAGACGGACGCGGAGACCCTCCGGCAGCTGCTGGGCTGGCGCTGCCCTGGGAGGCAGGTATGGCTTGGACATGGGGTCCAGCACGGCTAGCCGGTGCCCACCCTGGGCCCGGAGCCAAGCCTCGTCCCGGGGACGGGGAGTTTGGTTCCTTCCGCCCTTGGACCTTCTGACAGCCGACCGTGATGCCCGTTCCTGCTCCAGAGCACGGCCACCCACTTGCTCACCCCACACGTGTGGCTGGGCACAGCTGCCCCCCAACTCCTTCCTGGACAGACCAGTAGGGATCAAGTTCCTGCTTGTGTCTGGAGGCTCAGGGACAAGATGGCTCTGTGCTTTGTCCTCTAGCGTGTGGACACGACCCCGGGCAGGAGGGAGGCTCCTTCAGCAGGACCTGGTGCTCGCCCGGGCTGAGGGCCGTCCTTCAGGCGCAGACATCCGTCCTAGGCCAGGTCCTGGCCTCGCTGGGGTGTGCCCTGGCCCGGAGGCACTGGCAGGCCCTCGAGCCTGCTATGGGTGGGTGGTATGGTGGCTGGTTGGATGCATGAGGGCCGGAGGCCACTGGCCCTCCCTCCCCCTTGCGGCCAGAGCCCTGACCGGCCCTCCTCCCTCTCCCCCTGCCAGGACCTCCCACTCCCGGGCCAAGGCTGAGGCCGCCCTCACTGCAGCACAGAAGGCCCAGGAGGAAGCACGCATCGCCAGGATCACTGCCAAAGAGTTCTCGCCTTCCTTCCAGCACCGGGAAAACGGTGAGTGCGCACCCCCCCAGGGGCGTCCGTGTGCAGGGCCGCGGCCCACGGCTTCCGGTCCGCATCCCGGCGCACTCCTCTCCACCATCCACGCGCTCTCCCTGCCCTGCCTGCTCCTGCGGTTCTAGACCTTTCTTGTGGAACCACTCTGTCCAGTTGGGGGGCTATCAGGCCAGCTGCTGTGGACCGAGGCTTCAGTCTACACCGCGTGAACCGTTGCGGGGGACGCGTGGGGGCCAGCCAGCTGGGAGAGCGCAGCTCTCGCACAGGGGGAACTAGAAGCCCCTGCACGGCAGCCAGATGCGTGACCCTCCTCCTTCCCTTGGGGGAGCTGGGCCACAGCTGTGTCTAGCCCAGTGAGCCTCGACGCAGCTCGGGGCCAGGAGGAGGCCTGGAGCTGGGGCCAGTGATGACCAGAGGCTGCTGAAGCCCTCAGGCTGGACTAGCTGCCCCATCTCCTGCTCCCCCTGCCCCCGGAAGTTTCCTCCACCCCTGGAATCTCTAGAGCCACGGCAGGTTAGGACCCAGGAGTGAGCAGAAGCCACCATTCCCAGACCACCCCAAACTCTCCAGGAGCCCATGGCTCTAGGCCTTGCTGGGAGGGGGTCTGGCCTTCTGGGCAGCCCAGAGAGGCCAGGCCTGCTTCTGGGAGGCAGGAGGACTTGAGTGGCCTTGGTGCCCCCAGGACCCACGATGAGACACAGGTGGTGGGGGGGGGGGAGTCCAAGTGCTGATGCTGCACCATCGACACTGGTTGTGAGAGGGACGCCTCCAGGAAGGGCTGGTGCTCTGGAACCAGCTCGTGGCGGGCAGCACAGCCAGGAGGGCACAGGCCTCCCCCTGGTGCACGGGGTTCACAAGGCAGCCGGATCAGCAGCCTCCTGGCCTGCCCACGGGGCATGGTGTCCGGGCTCCCCTGGCCCCGAGGACATCCCTGGCGCAAGCAGGCCAGGTCAGGGCTGTGATCCCTGGCCTCCTGTGGTAGGGCACCCAGTGCTTCAGACCCCCTGTGCTTGAAGGGGTGTACTGCCATCCCCACCCCCTGGCCTCACGTGCCAGATGGGGTGTGCATGGATTTGGGGGGTAGAGGGGGTTGACCACTTAGGCCAGCACTCACAGGTCCAAGATCCCTACCCCGCAGGACCCCAGGGGGCCTCCCTTGGTCACCGTTCCATGGAACAGCCACGATGACTATTCCGGTGTCCAAAGCTCAGCCTCGTGCCGCTCACTACCCCATCTCCAAATCCCCAGAGGCAAGAGAGCGGGAGCCTCGGGCCGCCATGTGTGTGGCGGAAACAGCATTGGCGCACTTCTCCTCCATAAACGGAGGGCTGGGTCCGGTCCCTGCCAGCCCGTGGAGGCCATGGCTCCTGCGGCCCTTCCTGCCCCAGCAGAGAAGTGGAGAGGGGAGACCACCCCTGTTCTCACACACTGCACCCAGGGAGGTCCTGAGACCCCCTAGAAGGCCACCTAATGCAAGAGGCTTCCTTCCACCTTCCAGAGGAACCTGGGGTGGGGGACAGGGGACCCGAGAGCAAGGAACAGGCCGGCCCCTGTGCTTGCGTGTTGAGCCTTGGGGCTCTTGTGTAGCCGGAGTGGGGGGTGTGCGGCCCAGAGCCTCTGTCCATTGCTGCACCCTCGGGACCTGGTCACCCTCCAAATGCTTGTCGGGTGGGGGGCTTGGGGTTCTACCAAAGGGCTCTGGGAACCACTCTGCCTGCACCCCACTGGTGAACGGCGCATGCCCTAGCCCTGGCCGCTGCCCCACATGGCCCAGGCCCAATCCTGGTCTCCCGCGGTCTTCTGGTGAGATCAGGCCCCACGAGACACAGAGGGTCTGAGTAACCCAACCTCTGTGCTTCCTGCCCCTCCATAAAGGGCTCGAGTACCAGCGGCCGAAGCACCCGATTTCCAGCAGTGACATCGAGGTGGCCTCCACGGGGACGCCCCTGCAGCAGGAGAGCCCCGAGCTGTACCGCAAAGGCACCACCCCCTCGGACCTGACCCCCGACGACAGCCCCCTGCAGAGCTTCCCCGCCAGTCCCACGGCCACCCCGCCCCCGGCCCCTGCCTCACGGAACAAGGTTGCCCACTTCTCCCGGCAGGTCTCGGTGGACGAGGAGCGAGGCGGGGACATCCAGATGCTCCTGGAGGGCCGGGGAGGGGACTATGCCCGCAACAGCTGGGGTGAGGACAAGGCCGGCGGCGCCAGGGGCATCCGCGGCAGCGCCTTCCGGAGTGGTCAGCCCGCGGATGACTTCCGCTGCCGGGGCTCAGGCCACAAGCAGCCTAGCAACCCCAAGTCCCGGGAGCGGCGGACGGAGTCGCCCCCTACGTTCTCCTGGACTTCCCACCACCGGGCAGGCAATCCTGGCTCCGGGGGCGCCAAGCTGCTAGAGCTGGATGAGGAGAAGCTGAGCAACTACGAGATGGAGATGAAGCCTCTGCTGAGGATGGATGCGTACGTGCAGGAGGCACACCCCCAGAAGAGACGCTACAGCAAGGGGGCAGCCTGCCGGGGCCTGGGGGAGGACCACCGCGCTGACGACCGGGGCTTCGGGGCACAGAGACTGCGGTCCAAGTCCCAGAACAAGGACAGCGCCAGGCCGGCCCCCTGCATGGAGCCCGCGGTACAGAGGCTGGAGAGCCTGCGGCTGGGGGACCGGGCTGAGCCCCGGCTGCTGCGCTGGGACTTGGCCTTCTCCCCGCCCCAGAAGTCCTCACCCGTGGCACTGGAGTCGGACGAGGAGAATGGGGACGAGCTCAAGTCCAGCACGGTGAGTGGTCGCCAGCCACTGGCGATGGGGGCAGGCAGTGCCCTGCCTCCTCCAGCTGAGGGATGGCTCTGGGCACGGGGGGAGCGGTTCCTTCCCCAGGAACATGGACCCTCCACATAGGAAGCCTCTGTGGGCGACGGGATCCCCCTTCCTTTAGAGCCCAGAGAGTTACTCCTCCCAGGCTCGATCCTAGCAGCGAAGCTCCCAAAAGAAACTGGGCCGTAGCAGGAGTCCCGTCTTTCCCCCTGGCCCAGGAGGGTCCTCCCCTGCTCTGGTGGACGGTCCTGGGTCCTGGAGTCAGGATCAGCCCGAGCTGCTGGGGCGTGGGGCCAGGGACCGGCTCAGGGCTGTTGTGTCTAGGCCACACCTTTTACATGGGGCAGGCGCTGGGGTCCTCCCACGAAGCCCACTCTCATGGGCAAGATGGACAGGAAAAAACTTTGTGAAGGCCGTCCACACCAAGGCTTCCCTCCCTACCAGAGCTCTAGTTCTTCCCACGTAGCCTGAGGACGCAGCCTCTCTGGCTCACCCACCTCGGGATCCGACACGTGGGTTGTGGCCGCGATCCAGGTCACTATGGCTGGTGGGGGACACTGGGACTCACTCATGGGTCCTCATACGAGCATGCCTCCCATGGCAGGCAGTTTGAAGGATAACGGAGGCCCCTGGGCTGGATAGTGTGGGGCCGGGTGGGTTCTCACACACAGGAGGGACCTTCTGGGACCCTCCACCTGGAGGCTGCCTCCCAGGGGCAGACATGTCCTGTGCCCCTGGTCAGACAGCTTCTCTGCCCCACCCCAGGGCTCATGCCCCCATACGCTCCACTCTGGAACCTGCAGCAGCAGCCCATGAGGGCCTGTTCCCCTGCTGCTGGAGTGCCGTGTACCTGCCCCATGGGGCACGCAGAGCCTTGGACACCTCTGGGACCCAGCAGTGCAGCCAGGCAGGGTCACTGTCCGTTGCCTGTCCCCTGGAGGAGCGGCATCGTCTGGCAGATCAGGGCCCTGTGCTCCTTGGAAGAGATGCTTTCTGGGGGCAGGTGCCTTCCCCTTGAAAGCACTGTGAGCGAGTGCTCCTGCTTCCCTGTGCCCAGATCCCACCGGAGCTCGGCCCTATGAGTGCCTGCTGGGTGAGTGCCCGTTGGGGGAAGACTGGCTTGTACTCACAGCTCCATTCCCTGTCCCGGCGGCCAGAAACATTTGCATGCCTCTGCGGTGTGTGTACCCATGTGCACACACGTGTGCACGGTGCACGTGCGGTTATGATAGGAAGCCGGATGATGGACACGGGTGGGAGATGTGGGAGGAGGTTCTACACGTGGCCTCCTTAACTATGTTGGTGCTGTAAGATGAAGCTCCCGGGGGAGAGGTGCGAGCAAGCGGCTGGCCTCCAGCGGACACCTGTATTTATTCTGCTGGTGCCCCTTGTGCAACAGAGTGGCCTCTGCAGCCCTCAGCACTGAGGCTCCAAGGACAGCCGGTCCCAGGGAGGGGAGGCTAGGGCCTGGGTGCCCTGGGTCACTGGAGCCTCTGCTCCAGGGACAGGAAAGGCCTGGAGGCAGCCCGAGGCTGCCAGGGACAGCACTAGGCACGGAGCTGAGCAGCTGATGGGAAGGAGGGGTTTGCTGGGAAGCCAGTGTGAGGGCTTGGACATCACCAGGTTTGGGGGCTCAGGCTGAAGGCTGGGGCCATTCTGGATGGGCCACATCAGGAATCCCAGGGACAGTATTTTGTCCCAGCTGCAGAGGACATTTACTTACAGTGACCCGGCGCTGGGAGGGAATTCCAGGACCAGTCACTGCAGCCCGAGAAGCAAGAGGACCCTCTACTGGACTTGGGCCACCCCCCAGCCGCCCTCTCGTCGCTCCTGGTTTGGGGAGGGGGCTGGGGCAGGGGCAGGCTGGGCGTGGGCTCACCTCTCCTGTCTTCCCATTGCAGGGCTCGGCTCCCATCCTGGTGGCCATGGTGATCTTGCTCAACATCGGAGTCGCCATTTTGTTTATTAACTTTTTCATCTGATGAGATGTAACGTTAGCAAAAACAACGGTTGGTGTACAGAAGGGACGTAACCCACGACAAAAGGGAAGGATCATAACTCGGACGGCCCGACAACCACTTCCGAGTCTTTTCACAGAACAACATGATTGGGTATTACTCACAGTTTGCCTTTTTTTCTGGGTAATGTTTTTTGGATTTTAGCCAAAATTCTTTGCTTGTAAACACGATGCTGTGTGGCATGGCAGAAGGAGGCCAGCACGCCGACCCTCCAGCTTGGTGTGGAAGGAAAGGGATCCCAGCAAATCAATGGCCAAAAACTCAAACGGCCACGGTCCTCGCCGCCATCACACCCCGCCTAGGACTGGAAAAGGAGGCAGCCGGAGGAAGACCCCCGCGTGTCCAGCTGTGCCCGGCCGATGGGGAAGCAGCCTCTGGGAGGCTGAGTGCGGGCAGTCAGCTACCTCTGCTCTTCCTCTGGGTCCTGGAGGAGCGAGCGGGGGATGCTTACGGGCGTGCGGCAGGGGAAGAGGGCATGCCGTCCCCACTGGCGGCAGCCTTGGGCCTCTGTTTTGAATCTGTGCTGTGTACTTGAAGAAGCAGGGACCTGCCGCCTCCTCTCTTCCCCACCCCGGAAACGCCACACCCCGCCCTCTGCTCCCTCTGGCCTTCACGGCGAGGCTCGCTGCCCCCAGAGTCTGAAAGCAAGGTCCTTATGTTCCCTCCAGGCTGCCCCCTCTCCGCTCCCCCCACCCCCGCCCTGACCCCCAGGAAGCAGGGCTGCGGATGGGGCAGAGGGCAGGGAGCCTTGCAGGCTCATTTAGCCAGCACGGCTGGTTCCGAGTGTGGCACCTCTACACTTGGCATGCGGGAGGTGTATCCAGGCTCCCTTGTCCCCATCAGATGGCCCTCAGTGACATCCTCCTCTCTCATAGCACACGGTTTTCACATCTTTGTCCTGTGGTGGCCTCCACTCCCCACCCCCAGATACGCACACTCCTTCCAGATGCCTCGTTCATGCGCCAGAGCTGGTCTGGTCCCAGGACGGGAATGTGGGCAAAACCCAGTGGCTTAAAAATTCCTGAGCAATTGTAGCCTGTTCCTCTGCCCCCCACACCCCCACGTAACTGGTTTCAGTCAGTTCTGCCTTCTCTACCAGTGTCGCTCCATCATCCAAATGAAAGAACCAGGTTCCGGAATGTTTGGGCGCCCCGTGGTCCTAGCCCTGGAGCCAGCCCCAGCCTGTGTGTATGGACGTGTCTGTGGGGCATGGCCACGTCCATACACAGGCTTCTGAGCTCACGCCTGGGACGGTCCTAACCGTGAGCTTCCACGGCCGTCCTGGGCACAGCCCGGCTATGGACTCTGCCTTGCTTTGCTTATGTTTAGCTGTTTCTCTGCTACCTTTCAAGCAGATTTCTTTACTACACTGCACTGGATTGCTATATTTTTAACCAGAAATAAACTAAAGATTAGAGCATGTTCCAGTTAAATCCAGTTTTATTTTTTCTGTTCTACATTCACTCCCCATTTCCTCATTGTCTTAGTTTGGGGGTCTTTTTTGGGGGAGTGGGGACATAGGCGAGCGAGGGTCCGTAAGAAATACATTGCTAATGTCACTTTCTAAAGGGAAATTACATCTTTTTGTACATCGTACTTTCCGTTCTTTTTTACTATCAAGTGGTTTGCTACAGACCTGAGGTGAACCAAATAAAGACTCCTGCTCCTTGCAGCTCAGAGTCCTCCATGCTGGGGCCTGGGTTTTAGAGTTCTGTTCGTGACTCTTCGTAAAGATGACAGATTTTTGTACATTCCGGTAACAGCACGACACAAAATGGGGCCTAGAGCTGCAGGCTACACACACACACACGCCCCCCGGGAGTAGCGCAGAGAATCGCAAGTCGCCGCCCTGTGAAAGCAGGAGTGGTTCCGTGATGACGGGCTCGTGTCCCATCACGCACCTGACCCTGACCCCACGGCTGTACCACCACATCGCCCACCCTTTCCCTGCACGCCCAGGGAATTCCCTGTGGATTCCACCAAGACCACAACGTCCTGGGTCTGAGAGACTCTAGAAGCTGATTGTTCATTAGTTTCCCCACTGATCAGGGAGCAGGCCGCTCAGCAGGCGGGAGTGCTTCTGCTCGCCGGGCTGGCCTTCCTACTGGCCCAGAGCCTCAGGTTCCCCCAGTGGGTGCCAGTCCTCCTGTGGGGCCAGGGCAGCTAACCTGCTTCTCTCTGCGTGTTCCTGGTGGGCGCGCAGGCGGAGCTAGACCAGGCCCCACGGGACCATCAGGAAGCCCAGGCGTGCGTGGTACAAAGTGTTGAACACGTTTTAATTACTCCCAGAGCAACCTCACGAGAGTCCTTTTCTCCCCTGACAGCTTCTTCCACACTCTAGCTGTGAAAGCCGAAGGCAGAGAAATTGAGTGACTGGAGCTCCTGAGCCCGGGCCCGGGGGGAGGGTGGGGGTGGTGAACAAGTCACCGCTCCATGCCCAGCTCTTGCCGCCCTCCCTGGGCTGGGAAACCTGCACTCACACCTCACCCTGAAAGACCTGGGAAGGACACTGCCCTCTGGGGTCAGTAGGTGAGCTCGTCTGTGCCCACAGAGCACCTGTTGCATTTACCAGAAACGTGAGGAAACTTAGCGGGCTACTTGTCCGAAATTTGCTCAGTGCCTGTCAAGTGCTTGGATAATTTCAAGCACGTGAAAAATTATCCACACTTTTAAGCTTAGCACATGGGATTCCCAAAGACACAGAGCAGGGGTGCAATATACAAGCCTAAGTAATTGACAGGAAGCGTATGTCACTGGAGGAAACTTCCAGGTAGCCACAGAAGTTCGACGCGTTGCCAAAATCGCTCTCCCCACAAGTCCACAACCACATTTACCAGCCAATACACTCATGTCTTTGTTGAAATGACTGCACGGGCTGTGCACAAACACAAACACACTGGAGGATGACGGGCTCCTTGCCATTTGCACCAACCCAGATTCCCCAGCAAAGTAGGAAGAACACGGGTGGGTCCCCACAGCCTGCAGCACCCCTCAGGGCCCGTGTTTGGTGCCCACACCAACAGAGGACACAAACAGGGCGGCCCCACGTCCTGGTCCTAGAAGTGCTCCCTTTCCCTTTCAAGAGAGTCCCAGTTTGGACGATCCGTTATATGGCCACCCCACTTAAAACCAAAGGATGTTACTGAAAGCCCAGTGCAGATACAAGACGTTACAGGCTTGACGCGGACGAACATCTGGGGGAGTGAAGGAAATAAAGTGGTGGTGTTTCTCACATTTTTCAGTTTGGGTTTTTGGCCACCTTTCTTTGATCCCCTCCTGAATCAGCACCAGTGTTGGGGTCCCCTCCTGAGGCAGGTCTCACTTGCACCAACGGGGGGACACGCCTCGGACACCAGCAGCGCCTTCCTCCAGGGGAAGGTGCTTGCTGGAGGATACAAGAAAACACCTCTCAAGACAAAGGAGAGGGCCAACCTTGGCTCTGGATGAAGCTCACTTTCTTCAGCTCCTATGGGTTTTGTCTTCCAGTTTTTCTTGCCTTTGGTCTCAGAAACTTAACATAAAGGTGCCTACTAGATTTTAAGCCTCTATGTCCACAGCCGCATGTGCTGCCGGGCCCTACAATCCACGGCCAGCACTGAGTAGAGCAGACAATGGCTCATGTTTTCATGGTGTCCTGCCTCGGACAGGATTTGCTCACATCAGTTAAGCATAAATGTGAAGCAACAGGACCAGGATTCCAGACAAAAATAAGGCATGAGTGAGGTGCACTCTTGTCGGCAAAGTCAAGCTGTCTTGTTAGTTTCGTTCCCTGTCCAGGCCCGGCCACGTGTCAATGCTACTGTCAGTAAGCAAAGACTGGAAAAATGACCTGTCCCCAAGTGTCCCTGAGATCCGTTCCCGAGAAGTGTCATTTACTCAGCCTTAAAAGCAGCAAGAAAAAGTGCAGTTACCTTCGTTCAAAAACAGAAAGATGACGCTGTATTTTACAGTCTGAAAGCTCGGGAGACCAAGGGTCACAGGCACCGAGAGCCTCTGCGGGAGAGGATGGGGGAAGACGCTGGGCTCCATGAAAAGCCACAGACAGGAGACACCAGCACGTGTGGTGCCTGGACGGTGGAGACCCCTGAGGACCCTACGCCTTCTCCAAAACTGCAGCCCACGAGCTAGGAACAATGGGCACTTTCCCAGTCTGCCTCTGCATGAAACCCCAACACGGAGGCGCCTGAGATACAAAAGGGCCAACACGTGTTGTTCCAGCTTGTTCTCGACCTTTGAGAAGCAGGCAGCCCGGCCGGGGCCAGTCCGGGTGCACGGCCCGGGCCCGGGGCTTCGGGGGATGGCAGAGCAGGGAAGGCAGTGAGCAGCACACCTCATACCTACCTCACTCCTGTCGGCCCCTACCGCTCCCACCCGCCGAAGACCCAGACTCACACCTCACTGCTGCCTCTGCGCACACCCTCCCCATCCGTGCCACCACCGCCTGGTGACACGGGCACAGCGACAGCCCAAACCCACGAAGGGCAGGAGGCCCCAAGGGACGGCAGGGCAGGTGTTGGCTAGGTCCCCGCTCCCCTCCACGTGCTGGTAGCACCTGCCCCGGTGATTCATCCCACGCCTGCTACGAAGATCAGATGTCAAGTCCCTTAAGATCAGAGTTACCGTCTCCCAGCGCTTCCTGCGTGAGGACACACGTCACAGAGGAAGGGCTTTCCATCACTGTTCAACCATGAGGCCAACAGCACACCCGCCGCCTGAGGGGGTCTCCCTCCCTAAACACTGTCAGTCCCCAGGGCACCCCACACCATGCAGCGAAGTGCTCTTCAGTGAGCGGCACCCACACCACCCGCCTGTGAAGGGCAGGAGTCAGGAGGAGGGCTGCCCTCCAGTCAGCCAGCTGGGGCTTCCACGCGGGGTCGGCTTCGGGGAGAAGACGGGTCCGGGCGCAGGAGGTGGGGCGTCCGCCCCAACGGGGCCCTGCCCTACTCAGCACTGTCACTGCCGCCACCAGAGCAGCGTGGCCTGCACTCTCTGCCCTACGCCCGCTGGTGGTGGGCGGGCCCCGTGCTGCAGAGCACCGGCACTCTGCGGCTCACGCGTGGTCAGGGACCGCCCAGCTGCTGGAGCCTCCCGTGCACGGAGCCAAACCCGACAGCCGGACTCGGCTTATTTGCACCATTCACCACGTCCAAAGAAACACCACCCGCTGTAGCCTGATTGAAATAAAACCGACACGGCCCTCACTGCTCAGGTGAGCGGCACACGCACACTCGCCCTCACACTAGACCGGAGACCACTCACCCTGACATAGATGCCTTTTTGTGAATTCTAACATAAATTGGTCTCAATCTGCATTTTCTTTTCTTTCTTCCCTGGTGCATGTAAACTTTAATACAGTGCAATCGTTTGTGCATTGACTAAAAAGGAATGTTGACTATGTTTTTTCTTATTGATGAAGCGGCTAAAAATGTTACCTCGCCATTTTATCTTTTAGCTGGGAAAAATAGCTTGGTTACTTACAAAGTGAAACTTAAATACTTTTCCTTAATGAATGTAACACCTTAAGTCACACCATTATTATGTCTTTCGCTATCTGAAAGCAAGGGACACTGTCAAGATTTAAAATAATTTTGCTCCTTTTAGTAATAAACATCATCATTTGAAAACTCTGGGTCCCTTGCATCATCTCATTACAGATCAAGGTCTTCACTGAAATCTCCTAATGCCAAAATTTTGAGACGGAGAAATGGAATTCCTTCTTGGGGCAGAGGTTGTGTTCCCCCGACGGCAGCCCTGCAGCCTAGGTCCCGGGCAGGAGGGCTCTGGGAGCCCAGCCCGAAGTGCGCCCCCTCCTCCCAAAGCCGGCCCCAGCAGTCCCGCACACTCCCCTCCACAGGCTCTGCCCCAGGGGCCTCATGGTATTGCTGTGCTACACCTAGTTTGATTTAAGCATCTCATGGGGGGAGTTTACTCAGCCTTTCTTTCCGATGAGAGTTTCTCCCATCTCGGGATCCCACCCAGACACACCTGGGCCTTTCTAGGCCAGCCTCCCCAGTCCAGAGCCAGGCTGGGCACATGGCTGCCCAGCCCCACAAGCAGGTCTGGTCCAGAGGGTCCCAAGCCTGCTCGGCACCAGGAACCCAGGCCCAGTGCTGGCTGTGCCCGTGAAGGCTCCTCAGACCCCGATGGCTTATGTCCTTGGCCACTGGCTGCGCCGGTCAGTGCCTTAGCTTCCTGCTGGACACCACGGTCAGACCACTGGTGGATGGCCAGGCCCAGCCTGAACCCAGCACCGCCAAAGCTCTCTCGCAAAACAGAAATGAAGATGCCTCTGCTCTATACTCAGGAGCTATGTGGGCCAGTAAGAAAACACTGGTCTCTGGTGACCAAAGGCCTGCACACAGCCTGCTTCCTGGCTCAGAACACCCAGGAAAGCAGTAGTTACTAGAAGCTCCTTCAGTGCTCACGGAAGTAAGCAGTGGACAGTAGATGGAGATCATGCTCCCTCAAGCTGAAGTGGGGCACGTCCCCCCCACCCCCGCCCTAGGAAGCAGCTGCCCCTCCCCAGGCCCCAGTCAATACCGTGTCACCTCTTCCTCACCCCAACACATGTGGGGGGGGCTGGTTCCCAAGTGTGAACCTCACTTGGGTCACCCCATCTGAACCCAAGCTTGTGCCTAAACTCTCCTGGGTGGCAGCCTGAGGGCCCCTCTAGCCCCAGGGGACAGCCCTGAGGAGACCATCTGTTACCGGCAGGCCCTGGCCAGCCTCTGGCCCCTCAGTGTGTTTCTACTGTCAGCTAGCCACTGACTCCCTGTCTGTACAACTTGGTAAGGAACCCAAAACGTGTCAAACTGCAATAAATACCACTCTTGTCATCTTTCAGAGACAAACGGAGAAACACTCTGAATGGTAAGGATGTTTGTTCCATTCAAGCCAACCCCAGAAATCTACCATCGCTGACCAGCCCTTTGGAATCCATCTTCCTGCTGCATGACCCGGACAGCCGCTCGGCTGCCCCGGGGACTCAGGGAGGGTACAGAAGTCTTCACACTCAAAACCCCCCACCCCCCACCAAGGGGCTCTGCTGGTGCCTGAGAGGGCACAGCCAGCAGATGGGCACCGTAAGAGAAAGGGGCAGAACCCAACGACCCGGCCGGTGGTACGGGGGCTTACCAACAACTCAGCCAACCAAGGGACAGACAAGACAGGATGTGTGACTGCAGGGCCCTCGCTGACCCGGAATACAGCTGTATCCAGCTGTTCTGGTTCCAGCAACGCAGGGAATGGAGGCCTTGGGCTTCGTACTGGCCACTCATGCCTGTGGTGGGCATCAGGGTGTCTGGAACATTCAGTGGGGCACACGAGTCACCGACAGACCACAGGGTGGGTGTGCTGGTTCAGCTCCTGGCGGACTCTCTCGATCCTAGAATGCACCGCCGCCTCTCCCACTGCTGAGCCTCTAAGGTGCGCCTGTCCTGGTGTTTCAATCACAGCATTAAGCAGCAGACACAGCTCCTTCTCTGGAAACTTATTTATTCTTGTTGGTCCACTCAAACTGAGTTTTTTAGCAATAACCCTATGGACATGACAGCAAAACAGAGACTTGTTTGTACAAGAAGTTTCTTCAGGGGATTTGTGAGTTCTCTTTCAACTTGGCTGATTAACAAACATCCTCTTCCCTCAAACCTGCTCTATCATAGACACAATCAGTAACACTCTGGCCTCTGACAACAGAAAGCCGAGGTGGAGCCAACAAGCTCCTCCTAAAGCAGCTGTACCACTGGGCCGCATAGCCGGGGCTGAGTGCCACGTGCCGGGAGTGGGCAGAGTGGGCACCAGGAGGACCCGGGAACGAGCCACGGCATCCCATAAGCCACGCCTGAGGACCCTGCAGCAAGATTCTGCCCCGAGTGTCCGAGGAAGACCCAGACTACCCCAGCATCCAAGGGAAGGGCCACACATAACGCCACTGGAGCCCGAGCACCCAGCTTTTCTACCAAACCCAGCCCACATCTACTGAAAGGGTGCCATGCCACCTGACCCCCGGCCTGGCCTCTGACGGCCAGAGCTCCCACGGGCATGGCCCCCAGAGTGGGGCTCTGGCAGGCAGACGAGCAGACAGGCTACCGTCAGGGGACAGGGTCCTACTTCTAGTCTGCTGTTGAGAGCCCACCCCCACCAAGGCTCCATTCCAGAGGCTTGCCAGTCTGATAGGTGAGGGCCCACTGTCGAAGCTGGTGGGGGCTGAGCAGCGTGAGAAGGCTAGGCGAGAGAGGGGCGTTTCTGGGGCAGGTCAGCCCTTGTCCTTCCATGACCACCTTCTCGGGCCAGGCCCTGCTCTGCCACAAGTGCGCACTGCCACTCTTGTCTATTAGCATCCAGGCAATGATGGGGATGGCCTATTCCAGGGAACAAAGGGGATGTTGGCCGGGTAGCTAAAAACTAAAAACACCACATTCTCATTGTAGCAGGTATTTAAGATGAAGAAAGGTACCAGGTGTGACTTCAAAGCCCAAATGCTGACCCCAGCCATGCACCCTGGAGCAGGCACCATTCCGTATGTGCACGCACCACAGGCTGCCACCGTGATGACCCCCACTCCACGGGCGCTGGACAGCAGCACCACGTGGAGACAGTGGGGTCCCTGACCTCAGGCTTCCCGTCCTCCTGTCACTCTGCCAATGACAGCCTGGAGCCTGAAAGGGAAAGAGCAGAGAGGGGCTCTAGCATCTCTTCCTGAAAGAGGCTAGTGGAGCAGTTCTGAGGAGTCGGGGACATTCACTCAGAGGCGCCTGAGCACAGCCAGCCGCACAAAACACACAGAACCGCCCAGCCAACAGGAACTTTATTTCAAAGATCGGCAGAGACACAAAGCGTGTAAAGGTGGTCGGCGGGCTGCCGCCAAGAACTTCTAGAAATCAGAGACCTACAGGCCGACAAAGTACCATCAACCAGGACATGGGGCTCCTTGTCTGGCCAAAGGGAAACCGCCCACAAAGCACCCGCGTGCCCCCTCATCTTCCAGATGCTGCCTGCAGCAGGGGGCCCTGCCACCACCACCAGGGCAAACGGGGCCGCACAGATCACCACCTCTGCTGCGGCTGTGCCCCAAGGCCGCTTCATTTTAAGCCACACCCAGTGATAGGGAAGGCAACTGCACCTCACTCAGGTTAACTTCTGGGGGCGGTGGCTGGTGGTGTTGCTCAGGCCAAGTCATCACACAAAGCGTGTGGCACAGCATGGGCTGCTCCCTTCCTGGCGTGGGGCACCACGTTGTCCAGGGTGAGCCCTACCCGATACTGCTGGAGCCCGGGCAGCCCGTCTGCAAGCCGCTCGGCGGGCCCAACCGTGCGTGCAGGAGCTGCTCCGTGGGGAAGGAGGGGGCAGGAGGCAAGCACGTTGAGCCCAGGACGGAGGCCTGGGTCTGGCAGCTCCAGAGGCCACCCGCTCACCGCCTGACGGGGCGAGCACGGGCACCGCGTTTAAAGACATCACATGGCGAAGGCATTCTTCACTCCGTCCAAGCAGCTAACACGGCGCCGCTCGCTGCACTCCACATACAAGTGTTCTTTCAAAAACTTAAGCTTGCCTTGAGAGCACATCTACAAAGCAAAGCCAAATTTTAATAAAACTTCAGTAAAGCATTCAAGTCTCTCATTACCAGTAAAGCTTAGGACTCTGGGAGCCCAGTGACCCCCTGCCACCCCCCCGGCACGTGTGCCACGCTCACCGCCGGCCTCCCCGCCGCTGTCCTCGGCGCCCTCGCCGGAGTCCGTCTCCTCCAGCCACTCCTGAGTCCCTTTAAAGCAAAAGTGCACATCCCAAGTTTCCACGCGGCGGGGCAGCCCCCTCACAAGACTCTCGGCGCGGAAGCGGCCCGAGCCCCGGCACCACCGCACGCTCAGAGGAAACGCGTTTTCTCTCGGTCTCCGAGCAGAGGTGGGGTGAAGGACACTGACGGGCAAAGACACAAGACCCACGCAGAGTTCTCTCCTGCTCCCCAGCTCTAGCCTGGTCTCGCTGCAAGACAGGAGTCTCACACCAGCCACAGAGGAATTTTCCCCAAAAGTGTGGATTTTAACTTTGTTTCTGGTTTCTGGGCTTAAAGAAAGGAGCGGTGGCTTGTGTTCAGCAGCTGCGGGGTAGGACACAGAGGCGAGGGACGGAGCAGTCTGGACCAGAGCAGAGGAGGCCTGAAGGCGCCCCCAGGTCCTGGGCTGGCTCCGCCCTCACTTGCTCAGAGGTGGCTGTCCCCGGACAAGGGGCTCTGTGAGACTTGTTCTGTACAACGCCCCTCTGAGCAGCACCAGGACAGGTCTGAGGCTCATCAGAGTGCTGGAGTAGGCAGCCCACCCCCCTCCGCTCCCAGAGCAGGGATGGATATACAGAGGATGTGGCCCCTTGCCCACCGCGGGCTCAGTGGCACAGGGCAGATCTGAAGGGACACCTGCTTGCAGGCAGATGTGACAGAGACGCTTTGACGGGGGTCCTGCCCCAACCTGAGGAGGAGCGTACCTCCACCCCAGCTCACCTGGATCCATCTCCACCAAGACCATCCACTCCTGCATCTTGTGGAGATCTAGGCAGTACAGGTCACTGAGGGTGACCTGGCGGTCACCTGCCTCAAACATGCCTCCGTAGAGGTAGAGCTGCCCGTGCTTTACGGCCAGCATGGCGTTCGAGCGGGGGCTCGGCTCCACCATGGGGCCGCCGGCTTCGTCAGGGCTGTCCTCCTCGTCAGATGGGGGCTGTCCAGCCGAGCCCGGGGCAGCCAGCATCTGTTTTATGGTGACCACGGTCCCGTCCTCTGTGACCACCTCTCTGACCACCTCCAGCGGCTCCTGGGCACCGGCCCCCCCACGCTCCTGCTTGTCAGCACCTTCGGGCTCTGCTTTTTTGCCCCTCCTACGTTTCTTCTTCTCTGACTTAGGTCCCTGTTGAGAAGAAGCAAGGCCGTGCATTTTAGCAGCAGATAGCGGTGAGCAGGCAGCATCCTTGAGCCCCAAAGGAGCTAGGCCACACAGGTGAAGCACCTGCTGCGGTTCACCCTGGGGGCACAGAGCCTCTGCCTGCGTGTGACCCCTCCAAGAAAAAGGCAGAGAGGGCCACGCATCCAGACACTGGCCACACGTCCACCCGTTTTCCCGCAGAGGCTCTGCAACCGGAGTGGGGTCTCTGCCAGAGTGGGCCACCTCCTTCGGCGTCAGGGCCGCTGACCCCATCAACTCCTCTAGACAGACCTCAAGCCCCAAGGGGACCCCGCTGCTGGGACAGCCACCCATAGTGCTGCCGTGGAGTGGATGGGGGGATGCAGGCGTCCCTGCCCACGACGACAGTAAAGATGCCGAGAGCTCCCACGGGCCCCACACACACAGGAACTGGGGAGGCCCGGGCAGCTTGAAGCCTCCGGGAAGAACCGCCTGACGCGACGGAAGGAAAGCAGGTGCAGCCTTGCATCGGGGCGCACACTTTGGGGCCCGGCTCTACCTTCAGCTGCCCCGCAAACCAGCGGTTTCTGGCGGCATCATAGAAATGCAGGTCGTTGAGGAAGTCCCCCTCCAGGCTCTCCTCCTCTTCCTCGTCACACACCCCCCCGAAGAGCAGCGTCTGATGGTTTGGGGTCACAGCCACTGAAAAGCCAGACCTCGGAGTGGGCTTGGCTCCTGCAGGATTAATCCGGGTCCACGCCCACCTGCCTGCTGGAGGAGAGGGAACACAGGGTAAGAGTCTGCCGGCCACGGGCTCACCCAGGATCACCGACCCCGATGGATGGGACAAGCGGAAACACAGGACTGCAGGCAAAAGGGCACCAGGTTCAGGCATTCTGAGCCCTCCGCAGAAACGACACACAGTTCAACACGCCCCCCGGGGTCTCATCCTGCTCCTGGAGGCCCTGCGCGCACTAAGTAACGTTTCCACGCGCCCTGCAGACAGCCCCTGGGCCAACCACGCCCCAGCTCTGGCTCTGAGGCCCGGCGGCGACGGAGGCGGGCAGGCCGCAGTGCTAGGAGGGCCTCACGCCGCGCCAGGCCCGGCAGGGGGGCCGCGGGACCGAGAGAGCTGCTCCACGCGGGCTGCGAGCTCTCGCCCTGCTCAGGACCGCAGACTCTCCCGCAGGCGACACGCTCGCTCGCTCTCGGCACGTGCCTGATGAACGTGGTAACGCTCAAAACGGGACCTAGTGTGAAGCGTGGGGGTATCTTCCCACCACATCTAGAAAAAAGAACCGAGACTATCCTTTTATTGAACGTTTAAGGAAAACTGAACAGAAGCAACAAATGGCCAACGTCGTACCATGTCACGCCCACCTGTTGTTCATCAGCACAGAGCACAGGTGCGACTCTGGGGGCACCCAGCACTGGGCCACAAGGACTACTGCTCGCAGCCAGCACGCTAACGTGGTACGGAAACAGAGGAGGAAAAACACCAGAGGGCCCTAGCTCACAACGCACCATGCACTTCTTGCTGGCGGCCAACGGTCTGATGCCCAGGTGCACAGGTTGAGCACACGGGCTCAGGGTCCGGTTCCAGCTCCGGCTCCCTGATGTGCACACCAGGCAGCTTTCTCCTCGACTCCAAACCTTGGCGCCCACTGAGGAAAAGGCAGATGTCCTTATCGGTCACTGGGCAGCGTGGCCGACTTCCTGAGAAGTGCCCGGCTTCACAGAGGTTAGGGTGGGAGAGACGGAAGGGTGCTGTGTGGAGCAGCCCCGTCATTCTACAGCAGACAGCCTCATGGGGCGGGTGAAAGGCTTGCTGCAGGTCCCAAAGCAGACCCAGGACCAGACTGGATCACCAGAGTCTAGCCCAGCCGACTCATCCCAAGTCTCACAGGCCACCATCTGACTTTCTGAGCTTTAGAAAGCAAACGTGGGGGCCGCTGACCCACAACAACCATGCCCAAATCCCACATCCAGCAGCCACTTGCTCTTGAGTGAGAACAAGTCAGGGAACGGCTGACAAACAGTGGCTTCCACTCGCTCTGAGGTTGCCGTCCCAAACACCTGAGGGTGATCACTCCTCGGCTGTCCCTGCTGTGCAGACACTGAGGGTTATTCATGAGCACCCGGCCTGCCTGCTCAGGTGAGGACTTGCCCATGACTCCAGCACAGTGTGCAGGGGTTCGCTACCACCCTCCCGTCCCCCAGCCCCCCAACCACAGAGCAGGAGGGCTCTCGGGTCTCTGCCCTGCTTCCTGTAGGAGCCTGTGGCCCACCCCCATGACCCAGTGCATGTACCTTCTCTTCCATCCTCAGGCTGCAACAGGAACATATCTGAATGCTGGGTGCCTCTGTCCACATCTTTCTTGACTCTCTGCAAAAGGAACAGGGAGTCGTGTGAGAACTGGCCAGGCGCCACCTACAACGCCCCGCACAGCCCCCTCAAGCTTGTGGTCTGCCTTCCTGTTGGGGCGGACGCCCTGGGGGCCTTCGTTTGGATGAGCCACAAAGAAAATCAGAACTATGACCCGTTCAATTCTGACCTCATTGAGCAGATATAATAAAAAAAATATTAGTAATGATTTATTAACCAAATGTTAAAAACTGACCATTCTCAGAAGAACTGTCATGAGCTCCCACGGCTCTGCGGCGACCCTGCTGCAGGGGGAGGGCCCCCCCACAAGGCCATCATAAAGTTCCAGCGCAGTTCCCGTGTGTCCCCAACCCCATCACCTTTCAATTCACGTGCTCATACTTCCCTGCAAGAATCACATTCACACTTGCTGCCCAAGCCAGCCAGGTGCTACCATTTAAAAACTTTTCTGAGCGTCTCCAACAATGAAACCAAGGTTTCCCAGCCCTGAGTCCTCAGCATCAGGTCAGCTGCATTGGCCCAGACTCCCCATCTCTGACGCCCCTCAGGAGTAGAGAAGTCGCTGCTCAGCTGTGCTGCATCTTGGGTCTCCTGAGATTTGTCTGATCTGTCTCTCAGCACTGCACGGGGCTGTGGGCCCCACAGGTAAAGTGCCCTTCCCTTGCAGCACACCAGGGGTGCATGCTGGTGCCATGATTTCCCACTGCTGCTGATCCTGGTCACCTGGCTGTCACCCCCTCTCCGCCCCACCCCCCCCCCCAGGCTGTAGCTTTCCACAGTCCTCTGTGGAAGGACATCACTGTGCACAGCCCCGGTTGCGGAGACGGAAGTCAGGCTCCACCCCTCAAGGGCAGAGTTGGCTACATAATTTATGTGGAATTCTGCATAGGGATTTGTCCCCTTCCCCTGATTTATTTAGTCATTCAATCATTTGCTTATAATCAAATGGACTCACAGATTTTTATGTTCTACTCTGGGCTGTAAATCCAATCCGCTTTACTTACTTTGCTGCTAAAACCGTTGAACTTTGGCCACTGGAAACCCTTTCGGTGGCTCCTGTGTCCGTCTGATACAGCCCATCATGTGAGTTTCCTATAAGCACACCCTGAGGTTGGGGAACCCCAAGACCCTCCAGCCTCATCCCGTACATTTCTTGACCCAGGCCTGGAATCCACCATTTCCCCAAGGAGCCCCAGGTCCTCTAACTGGACATGGTTAGAAACTGCGATCTGGGCACCAGGAGTGCTCGCTGCTGCGGTTACTTCTACACCACCCCCCCCCCCACACACACAAGACAGGATCAGGAAATATGGACACATACCTCCTTTCCTCTCAAACAGAGGTATGCGTTTACTACAGGGGGGAGAAGCTGGTCTCCTTTTGGAAAACAAAGCCACAATCCAACTGTATACAGACTGGACATGTGACCTGACTATCCTAAAGCCCAGGAGGTTCAGGATTGGCCCTGAGTGGGGAACGGCCTGCATCTCCGGAAATGAAAACTGGGGTTGCGCCTCTCTGGTTTTCCTTCCGGACACATCTGCAGGATTCAAGTGAGGCAATGTCTGCACATTATTCAGACAAGATGTTTGCACAGCGGGAGGGACTACCCTTCCACACCAAAAGGCCCGGCACGTGCAGGAACTGAATTCACACCCAGAAGCCCCACCCGCTGGGGGGACCTGGAACGAGTTCAGTGATTGCTCTGTTGCTAGAGACGTAAGTTACAGCTGAGCTGCAGCCCCCGCGTTGCTGCACCTGCTGACCTGCGTGCTGTGGCAGCGGCCAGAGCCTACTAGTTAAGGGGACTCTTCTATGCTGTACCAATTAAACACCTCCTCTCAAGGCCCACGAGCCAGAAGCCTTCCCGAGAAGGGCGATGCCACAAGCCCGGGGCCACAGCCTGGTGCCGGCCAGTGTGCGGACGAGGGCTCTGGCTGGACGGGGACGGGCAGCCCTTCGGACCAGAGCTCACTGGTGCCGGGGCTGCCCGCCCCACCAGCGCACTAACTCCTCCTGTACAGCAGTTTCTTTTCTTGAAGTGCAGGGACTTGCCCAAAATCCATTCTGTGGTCCTCACAGGGACCCACAGGAAAGCTACCTGTGTAATGCTGTTGTTGTGCCACTGCCTTTAAAGGGCAGGGCCAGGCTTCCCACGAGATTCAACAGGCCTGGCAGAGGAAGCAAGTCTGCACAAGCCTTGGGAGACGTTGAACTCCCGCCTCGGCAGTGTGACGTTCGTACTGCGCCTCAGCCTCTCTCTAGGGAGGGGCACTTGTGTAAGAGGCTGAAACTGGGTGCATTTTACAAAGAATGTATTCCCCTGCTCACACGTTTCTGTCCACTGCAGTACTAATGGAATCCATGGAATCCAAAGACACTTTCGACAGAGACGTGTATCAAGCGTTACAACATTACACTGAAAACCAACACAACTATCTCCAAAACGACTCAAAGTGTGCCTGAAACCCAGGCACCTCCTCACACTGCACTCACACCCTGCACTCGGGTCTTCGAATCAGCAGCTCTAGCTCCCTCAGCCTCAGATGTGGAGATTCAACCTCCTGGACCACCCTAGTTTCAGGGCAATCTGACCCTAGTAAGGGGCGGCAAGGGCTCTGAGACGAGTAAGGGCCCTGCGCTGCTGCGCTCTGAGGACACTTTGCTTGTCAACTGTCCACTCTCTGGGGCCTTCCCCAGTTTGTCCCCAGAGGGTGGGGAGAGGTTCCAGACAGAGTGGCTGTAACCTGGTTGAAAGTCAAACATGAAAAGGACCATGGGGAGAAGCACCTTCGAGGAACCTATGTTCCCAGGGCCAGTGAAAGCACCCTCCTCAGCACATCCCAACCAGGGCCTGCGGGGACAAAGGAAAATGCCACATGCCACTGGGAGAAGGTGCTCCTGCAGCTCCTGGGGAGCGGGTGAGGCGGGGCGGGGCAGGGAGGCCCACAGCCTCGTCGCTCCTGTCCTGATGGCTGAGAACCAGCAAGGAACCACCCACAGAAACTACCCCACGTGCATGAGACGTCCTCCCCAATGGCAAAGAGGAGCTACTTTAAGACAAGCCATGAATGCCCGGCTCACAAGTCCAAAAGGTGCAGATGGCCCTGCCCCCTCTCTCGAAGCAGCCAGCATTGCCAACCAGCCACCTCAACATCTTGGCAACGGGAGGCCCTTTTATAAAGTTAGCACAATTTCATCCTGGTTCCCTTGGATTCACAACAGCAGCAAGCTTTCAACACCTGGCAAGGGACAGCTGAGATGCCCAGGTGGACCATCTGTGATACACGAAACCACCAAGAGGCCGTCTCTCCCACACCTCACAAGTTCAGACCCTGCTCTGCAGGCCGCTCCCCGGCCACTTCCAGGGCATCTGCACTCAATGCCGTGTTTGGTGGCTGTCAGCTCATTGCCATGGTGCCCAACCACGCCTGCCCTAGGCGGGGACACTGGGCAGGAAGGAGCACTCTGCCAGTCCAGGCTCCAGGACCGTGAAGTGGGTTCCAGTCAGGACTCAGGCAGCCCATCACCCACTTAGACTAACACCCTAATATTCCATAGCAGCCCTAACTCCCATCTTCCCCTGATTGGGATAAATCCCCCATGGATCCAAACAGACAAGCTCTTCACTGTGATTCAAACGCCAAAGGCCTGGAGCAAGTGGTCACTGAGGGAAGTGGACTCAGCTTGTCCGCACCCCTAGCCGGTGTTCCTAGTTGGAGAAGAGCAGTTGTTGAGAAGAGGCACTATTTTGATTAAATATCCTCTTTAAAGTGGCGTGAGCATCACAAGGTTCCCTTCTGTATCCCGTCCGGTTCACTCTATGAAGCACAAGATGTGGGCACAAGCTTGTGGCCAAAGCAACCTGTTTCTCAGGCCCTCCCATCTATCAAGCAACTAGCTAAGGCCAGAAAACCAATCAATGTTCTCTTTCCAGAACAAAGGCTGACCACTTCCTGAGCGGCAGGGCCATGACTCACTAGGGTGGAAAGGGGTGGGAAGAAGGTGGAAGCGGACACTCCCCCAGGGCAGGGCGGACTCCTTGCCTGCGTCATGCCAACCACCAAGAGGCGACCTGCTCGGCCCCCCACGTCAGAGGGCCCATTCCGTATGTGGGGAACGACATTTAAAACCACAATGAGACACCACACACCCGCCCAGAATGGCCGAGAATAAAAAAGACTGGTGGCATCAAGGGTTGGCAAGGGTGTGGGCAACCAGTGCGGGAAGGACTGAGACACGCTCCACCCCGTGACCCGAGCGGTCCCGCTCCTGCGTGTCTGCCCAAGGAACCAGAAGGTAGAGCCACACAGTGACCTGCACAGGGACACTCACAGCAGCTTTGTTCACGATGGTCAAAAACCGGAAACAGCCTGGTGTCCACCAATAAAGAACTGAGAAACTTTGTGTCACAGTGGAATACTGCTTGGCACGAAGCAGCAAGCAACTAAAACGTGCAACGTGGTCGGATCTCAAAAGCACACTGAAGGAAGGACACCTTCCTCCACCGAGCACATCTGTCACAAGTCCTAGAACAAGCACGTCGAGGACAAGGTGGGACAGAGCAGAGACTGGCACCTCCCTCCAGGTGGGGGAAGGGCATGGCAGATGAGGGCTTCCGAGCACCCACACACATGCATCTGTCACAACCAGCAGGTACACACTTAAAATGTGTGCACATCACTGCAGAGAAACTGTACATTAAAAATGGAATGTTGAGGAGTATCTGGCTGGCTCAGCTGGAGCAGCATGTGACTCTTGAGTTCAGGGTCAGGAGTTTGAGCCCCCTGATAGGTGCAGAGAGGATGTAAAATAAATAAAGTTAAAAACAAAAAAAACACTTGAATGCTGAACCCTACATGCTGGTATGCATGCTCCAGTATTCAGGGGAGAGTGACCAATATCTGCACTTTTCTCTAAAATACGCCCAGAGAGATGATGGGTGGATGATGTGAACAGCTACATGAAGAAGTGTTGACAGCAGAGCGCTAACTACAGAAGGGTCTGGGTGGGGGGACGTTAAGCGCTTGTAAGTCACTCTATGTTGGAGAAATTTTCAAACTATGAAGGCTAAGAAAAAGCCTGTGGTGAGACACCACCTCATCCCTCTGAGGCTCAAAGGCGCGTGCAAGCTGGTGAGGGGCTGCTTGTGGGCTGCCGACGCTGTGCGGGGCACCCTGTGTGGGGGACACAACCAGAGCCAGCACGTCACACACTCACTCCAGCGTGTCTGCACCACTTACAGCAATGACAGCCTCTACTATTATCAAGCACTGTACGTAGTGCCTGGTGTCTGTGGCTTAGACATCAAGAGCATGCTCCCCCCAATACAGAATTATTCACACTGCAGCATGTTCGGGCCATATGGGTTACAACATAATATGGCTTAATGTGGCTGAAAAAAATCTTAATATATTCACCGGGGAACAGATGAACACTACATCCATCTCTACTTCAATAGAAAGTGTTTCTGTTAAACCAATTCACAATCCTATTTGGAAGTTCCATTCCTGGTGAAAAAGGCAACAGAGAGGAGCTCCTGGTTCCCTGTCAGCCGCGTCTTACCTGTTTTGAGTAGCCCCCATAGATGACAATGCTGCCCTGGGGGGTGACGGACATCTGGCAGCCTGACCGAGGTGTGGGCCCAGCCCCTAATGGGGCTAGTCTGCTCCAAGCGAACGTGTCCAGGTTAAAGGCGTACACATCATTGTAGTAGATGTAATCTCTGGTTATAACACAGGGACACAAACAAGGAGGTGGGGACATTAAAAAGTGAACCTGATTCAAAATAAAGGTAAATTTCCTGCCATTTGTAGTAAGTTACTGGTTTCATTAAAGTTTAAATCCACATGGGGCGCCTGGGTGGCTCAGTCGTTAAGCGTCTGCCTTGAGCTCAGGTCATGATCCCGGGTTCCTGGGATCGAGCCCCGCGTCAGGCTCCCTGCTCATCGGGAAGCCTGCTTCTCCCTCTCCCACTCCCCCTGCTTGTGTTCCCTCACTCACTGTGTCTCTCTGTCGAATTAAAAAAAAAAAAGTTTAAATCCACATGAAGGGACCGCGGGCATATGTGAGTTTGCATCTGGAAACTAGAGATAATGCTGGCTTGAAGAATACAGTAATTTGCCTGGATCTGAAAGCCTTTTTAGTCTGAAAGTTATACCATACCTCCTGACAAAGTTTACAAAATCACAATCTTGCAAATCGTTACATTAGGTTTCCATGCGTGTAATTTTAAATCATGAATTACAGAGCCAGGTGAATACTCAGACACTTAAGAGTTGGGCTAGGGCTGGGAGGAGACCCTGAGCTGGGCTGAGCATTCCTGAAACCGGTGTGCCTAGAGGCCTGTCCCGGGGGCCCAGCAGCCCGGCAGCAGCAAGAGGGCCCTGCCTAGTGCGCCTGGGACTGAAGTGGCCAAGGACTTGACTGCAGAAGGAGCCTTGAGAAGGAGCCTGTGCGTGGGAAAGCAGCGGCTCGAGGATGCAGTGTTCTGATGTAACGTCATGGACAGTCACAGGAAAGCCAAGGGGCCTCAGGTCAGAATGACATGAGAAGAGTAAGAGGTGCTCTCCAGGTATTCAGAACAGACAGCCAGGCCTGAAGTGAGAAGCCATCCCACGGTCTGAGCCCGAGTGGGGTGCCCCGCAGCCAGCGTGTGGAAGGGCCACCAGGAGAGGAGCGCTGGCCAGAGGCCAGGGTCCTCTGCCACACACAGCACGGGGCACAGGCTGCCACCTGGCAGGTGCCCCTCCTGACCGGCACCCACGGAAACGCACCTTCTGTAGGATGGCTTTTCATATGTGAACAGAGAACACGAAGGCTCAGAGTTGAGAAGGCATCGCTAGATTCTACTGTTTCCTCAGATTTCACCCTGCAGATTTTCAGTAAAAAATTCTATTCTAGGGGCACCTAGTGGCTCAGTTGGTTGGGCATCTGCCTTTGGCTCAGGTCATGGTCCCAGTGTCTTGGGATTGGGCCCCACGTCGGGCTCCCTGCTCAATGGGGAGCCTGCTTCTCTCTCTGCCCCTGCTCGTGCTTTCTTTCTCTCTCAAATAAAATATTAAAAAAAAAAAAGTGCTGTTCTACACATAAATATCATAAACATCAACTGTTCCCTGGTTTTCACAAGTCAGACTAACTTGTCTCACAGGGAAGCTGACTGCACAGGTAGCTCTACTACCACCGTTTCTCTTACGTGTTTAAATACTTTATAAACAGTAACTCTGAGCAAGGTAACAGATGATAACAGTTTTGAAAACAGTTCTGATTTTGAAAAAGTTGCAGATTACAACCATTATAAACCTTGATCCACTTTCTAACCTGTGAGCTCCCAGGGGAAGGGCCTGCGTTGGCCCCACCATCGTGTACACAAGCGGTGAATTAATGTACCAGCACACTCACGAATCCCCGTGTGTGTGTGACAAATAATTCCTAGTTTTAAAAGTGTCCAGAAAAAATAATAAATGACAATCCCTTAGGTATAAACTTTTACAAACAGCCAGGCTCTCTCATCCGATATGGCAATAACCCGCTGCACACCTGCAGGGCGGGAGGGTGCGCTGCCCGAAAATGAGCAATCTTCTGTGGAAGCCACACTCCTCTAGGCACTAGGGAGCCTGGTTTCCTCATCTATGACGTGGGCCCACAACCTGCTCTACCAACAGGATGGTCTTTGAGACTCAACATTAAAGCATTATTACACCCATGTTACACATTTAAGGACACAAAAATCATTCCTGTTTAAGTTGAACTGAATTATGCTTTTAAAATCCCCTCCAAGAGTATTTAAGAATTTATATCCCCTTTTCCCAATTAATAAAACATCTTTAATTCATGAAGACAAACTGCAGCTTTAATTGAGCCAAATCTACACCACAACACCTCAACTAAAACTGGGGTAACGGGGGGTATGAAACACAGCAAGACTCCTACCGCGGACCTCCTCCTTCACATCCATGCACGACGACTGATTTAGAAGCCAGTCATCATCAGAAAAAAATCATGTGACAGAAATGTGAGAGGTACCATGACAGTTCGTATATTGATGACTCTGCTATTCCTTAAGGGGTGAGGAGAGGGAAGCACAGAACATGGCCACTGGGAGAGACACGCGCCCACCCTCCTCCATGTAGGGCCTGGTCAGAGGCAAAGCACAACACACGGGCCTTCGCCAGGCAGGACAGCCTTGTCGCGTTACACAACCCAGCACTGCAGGACGATGATGACAGGAACACAGACCTGTCACCACACGTCGTTTCTTGGGACTGAACTCGGGACCTTCAAGAGGCTATGGTGTGGACGACAGGCTCCTGACAACCGGAGAGCCGGTGAGCCTGGCCTGGCGTGAGCACACACGGAGCACACGATCACGGCAGCTCATGCCAACGTGGCCACACACGGGCACACGGGAGGCCCCTCCTCAGACATCACTGCTCTCGCTGCATTCCCCAACACTGAGAAGTTCAAAGTTATTTTTTTTTTTTTTAAAGATTTTATTTATTTGACAGAGAGAGACACAGCGAGAGAGGGAACACAAGCAGGGGGAGTGGGGGAGGGAGAAGCAGGCTTCCCGCCGAGCAGGGAGCCCGATGCGGGCTCGATCCCAGGACCCTGGGATCATGACCTGAGCCGAAGGCAGACGCTGAACAACTGAGCCACCCAGGCACCCCTTCAAAGTTATTTTAGGCCAGAGGCTCTCAGAGTGGGGTCCCCTGGCCAGCAGCAGCAGCATCACCTCTAAGTTTGCAGAAATGCGGATTCTCAGATCCCGCCCCAGGCCTACTGAGTCAGAAACCAGAGGGTGGGGCTCGGCAACCAGACTTTTAATAAGCCCTCCGGGGGATGCTGTACCAGGCTAACGGTGGAGAATCCTGTGTTACATAGGACTGGCCATATCATTTGCAGGTCTCGGTGTAAAATAAAAACGCAGAGCCCATTGTTCAGTAACTATTAAGAATTTCAAGACACTGACAGCAGAGCATGGGGGCCCTGTGGGGTTGCCTTAGCTACATATCCATGCACAAAGCTGGCTCTGGTTTTAGGGATGGGCAGCATCTTTCATGTGTATTCAGAATGGCTCTTCCTACAAAAAGTCCACTCCTTACTGTTCCAGGAAAGAAAGATGTCCTGCTATTGGTACCAACCTTGTACTCTCATGGAAGCCACCAAAAAGGATTAACTGTCTCTTCCAGGCTACCATCCGATGTCCACTCCGACCTGAAGGGCCTCCTGTTGATCTGAAATGAAGGGGGAAAAAAAAAAAAAGACCACTTTTTACACCAATTTTGGTTTCATAAGCACCTACTGAGTACCATTTAACTTGACCACAAGTAACCCAGACCATCCTGAGTCTAGCTAGCTGCTGTAAATGTGGAGAATCAAATAGGAGACAGTCTCCATGACCTTGGAGTAAAGACCTCTGAGAGCAAGCGGAGACTTAGATACAGAAACTGGACTCCATTAAAACAGAAAACCTCAGCTCTTCAAAATAAACCATTACAGCATAAAACAGCAGGAGATGGAAAGGCGGGGGAGATTTCTGCAAACACTCATCTAACCAATGACTTGCACCCAGAATACATAGACGAACTCCTGTATCTTACGAATAAAATAAATCCAATAAAATTATAGGCAAAAGATTTGAACAGAAGGCTGAATAAAAACAGGAAAGAAAACACACACAAATGGCCAACAAAGACAGCAAGAGATGGTCACCTCCCTCCATCATCAGTTGTTCGGTGAACAAGCTGAGAGCACAGTGTGCTCCCTACCACAGGCCACTAGCGGCCAAAACCCAAAGACAGGATCAAGTCCTCAGGAAGCACGAGCTGAGAGCTGGCTCCCTTACACAGCACGGGGGCAGGTGTAAGATGGCATGACCACTGCGACCGCTCCTTACACCGTGAAATGCGCTTGGCACACAACTTGGCAATGGGGTGCCAGATCCTCACTCAGATATGAAAACACAAGTGCATACAAAGACCTACATACATACATTGAGAGAAGCTTGATTCAGAACTGTCAAAAACCAAAAGCAGCCAAGAGATGCCTCGACAAGTGAATGACTAGTGCGGTACGTTCATACAATGGAATACTTGTCGGCAACAAAAGGGCGCTGTCTCCTGCTACACACAATACGGACAGGTCTCAAAGACATCACACTAGCAAAAGCAGGCACCAGAAGAGCACGTACTGTAGGATTCCACTTCTAGGAGATTCTTAAAAAGGCAAAAATCAACCTATGGTGATGAGAGTAGCTGCCTAGGGCCAAAGATTACAAGAGGACTGACAGCAAGTGAGCAGGAGAGAACTTTGGAGTGACAGACACCTCGTCTGTCCCAAGTATGGTGGTGGTTAGACAGGTCTCTGGATTAGCCGAGACTCCTCTCTAACTGTCCAGCTAAAAGGTAGTCATTTTACTGAATGTGATTTTATCGCATTAAACTTGATATTAAAATACACGGCAATAAATAACAGAAGGGACTTTTGAGTTCTGGTCTGGCATACAAGGGACTTGGAAGTCACAACTCTGTCCCAACAAGTAGAAAAGTTGAACAGATTGAAAGTCAACAACTCTTCTTGGATCACACACAGGTCAAACTGCTGGCCCCGAAGTAAAGACAGACAGGTGAATACAGGAGTCACGCTTCCAGAAGCAGAGGCTCACAAGTAGACACTGCCAGGAAAACCTGAACTGGATGGACTGCTGGAGGCTCAGTGCAGCCACACTCAGAGTGGAACACTCCAGGGGTACCCGGTCACTCCAGGGCCCTCACCATGCCATGGGATTTACCCGAGGGGCTCAAACACATCCCCACAGTAAATATCACAGAAAAATCCCCTCGTGCTTCTGGCAGAGGCAGGGAGGGGAGAAGGAACCATTCTGAAAAGCGCCTGGGCATTCTGTTCCTCTTTAAATTCTGTTCCCTCAGGGGAAACTAGCTAACCAGAGCCCACTGCGTGCTGGAGCAGTATCAGAGCCAAACTGACCCAAAGAAGAGAAACGCCCAATTCCAGCTCCCTCCGGGCATGCTGGCCCACCTACGAAGGGGTGGAAAGACACTGAGAGGCACTTGGGAAGTCCCCAGTCCGAGGCACAGGCTCAATAAAGACCGGAGACCTCCTCACAGGACAAGCGCACGCCTCCCCTCCTCACACACCTCACCACCACACTCCTGAAGGCCTATTTACGGCACTTCCTTCTAACTGGTACATCGCATCCTGCTAGCGAGGGGACACTTACAAGGCACCCGGAAAGGCAAACAACACAGTCTGAGGGTTCAGAGCAAGCACCAGAACCAGATAGGCCGGGGTGCTGCAACCACAAGACCAGGAATTTAAAACAACTGTGATGAATATGCTAAGGGCTGCAACGGATAAAGCAGACAGCATGCAAGGGCAGATGGACAATGAAAGCGGCGAGACAGAAATCCTAAGAAAGAACCAGAAAGAAATACAAGAGATCAAACCACTAACAGAAATGCAGACTGCCCAGAATGGCTTGGACGGAGTCACGAGCAGGCCAGTGTGGTTGAGAACCCCCGAGCCAGAGGATACAGCAACGAAAAGCTTGAAAACCCAAAACCAAGGAGAACCAAGACTGGGAAAAAACAAAAACAGAATATCCAAGGACTGTGGGACAATTATGCTAAAGGTGTAAGAGAAGCACAGTGGGCTTGCCAGAAGGAGAAAACAGAGGAATAGAAGAAAAATACAAAACGACGAGAATTTCCCCAAACTGAACTCTGACATCAAACCACCGATGCAGGATGTTCAGCGGACACTAAGTGGGCTACATGCCAAGAAAGGATACCTAGGCCTGTCATTTTCAAATTACAGAAAAGCAAAGATAAAGGAAAAATCCTGAAAGAAGCCACGGGACAAATAACACCTTACCTACAGAGAAACAAAGATGAGAATCAAATCCAACTCTTGCTCAGAAACCGTGCCAGCAAGAGCAGAGTGGAATGAAGTATTTACGGTGGTGGGAGAAAAACATCAGCAACACACAACTCTGTGCTCTGCGGAAGTACCCTTCCAAAGTGAAGGAGAAATAAGACTTTCTCTGACAAACCAAAATTAATGGACTTAGTTGCCAACAGACCTGCCTCACAAGAAATGAGAGAGAGAGAGAGAGAGATTTGGGTCAGTAACTTGGATCTACATAAAGGAAGGAAAAGAACTGAAGAAGGAATAAAGTGAAGGTAAAATAAAAGTTTTTTTCTTACTCTTAACTGATCTAACAAATAACAGTTTGCTCCCAGTGACAGAAGCAGCGATGCATGTGACTGTGGGCGTATATACACACGTTTGTAAGCTTGTTCCTATCAGTGAGACAAAAGACAGCAATGATACAAGGACAAGGGAAGGAATGAAGATTATTTTGCTCTTTCAACGTATCCACACAACTCATGAAGTGGTACAGTGTTACCTGAAGGTGGACCTGGATTAGTTGTAAATGTACACTGCCAATCGTAGGGCAGCCACCAAAAACAGTAAAAACATTGGTATAACTGATATGCTAAGACAGGAGAAAAGTGGAATCCTACAACATGCTCAATTCAAATCATAAAAAACCACCAAAAAGAGTCAAAGACAAACAGAACAACAAAGGACAAGAGCGACAAACAGAATACAGTAACAAATACAGTAGACAATCCAGTATATCAATAATCACTTTGAACGTTAATGGTCTAAATGCACCATTTAAATGACAGAGATCATCAGAGTAGATCAAACACAAGACCCAGCTATGTGTTGTCTACAAGTAACCCACTTTAAACATAAAGATACATGCAGATAAAAAGTAGACACATGATATACCATGCCGACAACTAATCAAAGAAAAGTAAGAGTAACTACATTTCAGAGAGAGCTGACTTTAAAGCAAGGAAAGTTACCAGGGATTTAGGTGGGCATTACCTAAGTATACAAGGATCAACTCTCCAAAGAGACGAGACGTAACAGTTCTTAACATGTACAAACCCAACAACAGAATGCCAAACTATACGAGGCAAAAACTAACAGAAATGCAAGGAGAAACAGACTTATCTGCTGTCACAGTTGGAAAATTCAACGCCCCTCTCTCAAAAATGGACAGATACAGCAGCAGAAATCAGCAAGGACAGAGCTGAACTCAACACCACCATCTATCAACAGGATATAACGGTCATTCACAGACCACTTCATCCAACAACAGGCAGAACACGTTCTTCTTAAGCTCACCTAGAATGTTCACCATGATAGACCATGTTCTGGGCCACAAAACACACCACAGCGAGTTGAAAAAAGGAGAAATCATACAATGTCTGCTTTTAGACCACAGTAGGATTAAACTAGAAATCAATAACAGAAAGATAGCTGGGAAATCCCCAAATACACAGAGATTAAAACAACACCCTTATAAATAACATGTGGGTCAAAGAAAAAATAGGAGAAAAGTTTTTTTAAAAGATTTTATTTTATTTGTCAGAGAGAGAGAGAGAGAGAGAATGAGCACACGTGGGGGGGGGGAGTGGCAGGCAGAGGGAGAAGCAGGCTCCCTGCTGAGCAAGGAGCTCAATGAGGGACTCAATCTCAGGACCCTGATCATGACCTGAGCCAAAGACAGATGCTTAACCAACTGAGCCACCCAGGAGTCCCTAAATAGGAGAAATTTAAAAATATTTTTAACTAAATGAAAATGAAAACACAATTTATCAAAATTTGTGGGATGCAGTGAAAGCAAGCGCTTAGAAGGAAATCTGTAGGACTGAATGCACATATTAGAAAAGAAAAAAGATCTAAAGTCAGTAATCTAATTTTCCACCTTAGGAGACTTGAAAAAGGAGAGGAAAGTAAACCCAAAATAAGCAGAAGAAAAGAGTGAGAGCAGAAATTAGTATTGTTGAAAACTTTGGAAAATTTTGAAATATTTGGAAAATAGAGAACAACAAAGCCAAAAGCTGATTCAATAAGCCTCTAGGCAAGCTCAGAAAAAAAGAGAGAACACAGGGCGCGTGGGTGGCTCAGCTGTTAAGCGTCTGCCTTCGGCCCAGGTCATGATCCCGGGCTCCTGGGATTGAGCCCCGCATTAGGCTCTCCGCTCTGCGAGAAGCCTGCTTCTCCCTCTCGAGCCACTCCCCCTGTTTGTGTTCCCTCTCTCGCTGTCTCTGTCAAATAAATAAAATCTTTAAAAAGAAAAAAAAAGAGAACACAAATTACTAATATCAAAAATGAAAGAGGGAACATCACTAAA